AGAAATGTAACTAACGTTTACAACCTGATGATGAACCTAAAACCTTTATACGAAATTGTTGTACATTTGCTGTTATGTTAAACTTATATTAAAGTTTTTCTTTATTACCCATTCAAGCCGTCTCCAAGCATTATTATAGGGGAAACAAGTTTTTAATTTTGAGAAATTCTAAAACTATATACTAAGTGTGTAAATTTGACTTTATTATAAAACGAGCACTGATGTTGAAAAAAAAAAAAGAGGGAAATATTTCTATGTAACATTTTATAAAAACTAAATCTCCCCTTCCCCTTTTAAAGTGTTAAGCTATGATGAGAAGAGCAAATATAATTCAAGTTTCTATTTTCAAGAGTTTGTGTTGTAAAAGCTAGAAGGTTATTGTGGCTTTATATAAAACTAATGAGGCCATAATTGGAATACTGTGTGCAGTTTTGATCCCAGTACTGCTGGAAGGATATCAATGTTTTATAAAGACTAAATGTTTTTGGGGTGAGAACTCCTCCTCCCTTCATCTGCCATTACAGTAGCTATCTCGTGTAAGTATTTTGCCAAAATAGGACAGCTTGATGCCCTGGCCACAATACCTATTCTCACATTCTACCCAACTTTATGATATGTTACCACTAGCTCTGGATTTACCCAATATCCTTCACTGTAAATCTCTCTCTGTGATGTAAGTGTAATATATGAATAAATAATAAGTTAAGTGAAGAGTATTCCATGCTTGAGAAGTATGCATTCTTTTGCTGGGTGCTGTTCTACTAGGTGTCCCTTGGTCTCATGGAAGTCACACCCCCTGGGCATTCCCTTTCTGTCACTATTTCAGAAAAGGAGCTTATCTTTGTAATTTTTCAGCACTGGCCCCTTAACCATTTTCAGTGTGGAATTCTAGCTCTTGGTGGTGCAAAGAGGTAAGTAACATTTCTAAAGTTAACATTTTCCTTACCTGAAAATGAATTTTAGATAGATACTTACCTCTTCCCCACCTTCAAACTCTTCCTCCCCACTTCTGGGGCATTTTCTTTGCCTTGTCAAGAATGAGCCTATGATCATGTGATAGTTCTCATGAGGATTACCCCAATTGGAGATTGTCATCCTCCTATTGGTGAAGGGTTACAGCATTATGATGATTACATCATAAGCTGGTGCAATACACATAGACATGTGTAGGGGTGGAAATTTGTTCAAGGCTTGTGCAGGAAATTCCACAGCAGTTATGTAAGAGGTAATAGACTTAGTGGTGCAGAGAGGTAAGTATCTGTCTGAAATACATATTCATGCAAGAAAAATGTTAACATTAATTTATCCAGTTATATGTAAAATAATATAAATCTGTTTTTGTGTTAGAAATTTTGAATATAAATGAAAATCATTAAAAAATGACAAATAGAATATTATTTTTACAAGACAACGTACAGATAAAATGGAAATAGTGTTTTAATATTAAATGAGTGATTTTGTATACCTTCTTTGATATGCTTTGAAAAATATATTAAAAGTATTTAAATAAAATAAAATTGAAATTTAGAAATCAAAGTCAATAGTTACATTTCATTTTCACAGAT